AGCAGAGCTCACATTGTGAGGTGGCACTGGGCAATGGTGGCCCTTCCTTTGCATCTGAAATTGCTCTGTCCCCCAGGCTCTTGTATACTGGGCTGTGATGAGGGTGGCAGCCTTGATGATTTCTGAATGGCCTTTGGGGTCATTCTTCTATTGTCTTGGACAATAGGGTCCTGGCCTCTGTTTAGATATCTGACTAATCTGCTTATCAGGGGATCTTTTGGTGATATCCTTGGTGTTCTGTCCCAAATAGACTTTATCATTCTTTACGATATGGATAGGCTGAGAATTTTCCAGATCTTTAAGTTCTGCTTCCCTTTTCATGAGCAATTTTGTCTTTAAATCACTTCTCTCTTCTGTCATTTTACTATAAACAGTCAAGAGGAGCCAAGCTGCTCCTTCAAAACTTTGCTTAGAAATGGCTTCAGCTTAGACATCCAATTTCATTGCTCTTAAGTTCTGCCATCTTCACAAAACACTAGGATATGAACATAATTCTGCCAAATTCTTTGCTGCTTTATAACAAAGATTGCCTTTCCTCTAGTTTCCAATAACATGTTCCTCATTTCTGCCTCAGAAATCATCAGAGCCTTTACCAGGCATGTTTCCACCTATAGTCTATTTGTGACCACTTAGGTTTTCTATTAGAAGATTGAGGCTTTCTCTACAGCTCATTTCTTGTTCTTCTAAGCCCTCACCAAAATCACCCTTAAAGGCCTATTCCAGCCATGTAGACTTTTTCTAATATGCATCTCAAAACTCTTCCAGCGTCTATCCATTACCCAGTTCTAAAGCTACTTCTACATTTTTAAGTGTTTGTTTGCAGCAGCACTCCCACTCTCGGTACCAGTTTTCTGTCTTAGTACATTTGGGCTGCTGTAACAGAATACTATAAACCGAGTGGCTTATAAGTAACAGAAATTTTTTCCTTGCAGTTCTGGAGGCTAGGATTTCCAAGATCAATGTGCTGGCAGATTCAGTGTCTGGCGAAGGCCCACTTCCTTGTTCACAGAATGGCACCTCTTTCACATGGTAGAGGCAACTAGCTAACTCTCTGGTGTCTCCTTTCTGAAGGCACTATTCCCAATCATGTGGGCTCTGCTCTCATGACCTAATCACTCCCCCTTCCCAAAGGCCCCACCTCCTAGTACCATCGCCTTGGGAGTTAGGGTTTCAACATATGAATTTTAGAGGGACACATAAGTACAGACTGTAACATTGTGTTTGTCACCATTTCCTCATTTGCTCATACTTTTAGCTCTCTATTTGCTAGTGGTCATTAGGTAAACATGCATTTGCTTTGGAGAGCTGGAACAGGATTGAGAATGGACAAAGAAGATCTAGACATATATAGAGAAAATGTAACAGTGAAGGGGGTAGATGAAGAGAAATAAAGATTAGGCTAGCATAAAAGAGAGAGAAGAATACTCGCTCATTGAGGATGCTGGACTTCCTGGCAGATGTCCTTATGCTAGGCATTTTGAGAAAGAGGACACGGAAATAAAGGGGCCTTCAGTTCACTGTCTCACTAGTAAAGAGAGGGCTAAACTATTCACAACATAGTAAGGTTACATTACTTTTTCCCTGCTAAAAAAGTAATCTATTTTAATTGGCAAAAATAATGAACATCTCATCATCTAAAAATTATCACTATTGTCATTTTATTGTATTTCTTTCCAGTCTTTCTTTCTTTTTTTTTTTGAGTTGGAGTCTCACTCTGTCGCCCAGACTGGAGTGCGGTGGTCACTCCCGGCCACCGCAGCCTCGACCTGCTGGGCTCCCGTGATCCTTCCGCCTCAGCCTTCCAAGTATCTGGAACTACAGGCGTGCACTACCACACCCGGCTAATTTTTTGATTTATTGTAGAGATGAGGTCTCACCAAGTTGCCCAGGCGGGTCTCGAACCCGCAGGCTCAGGCAATCCACTCACCTTAGCCTCCCAAGGCACAGGATTACAGGCTGAGCCACCGAGTCCGGCTTCTTTCCAGTCTTTCATTATTTTATGGACATTAAACAAAAATCACTTTCATGACTATATACTATTGAGGTACACTTTTACATATAACCAATCTACTATTGGGCATGTGAGTTATCTCCTTTGTCTTTCTCGTCATTACATAACAGACACAAATGACCTGGTAGGAAGGTGTTTCTACATTAAGGATTTAGTGATCGATTGGCTTGTAGATCTGCTGCTCTCAACTTTGTAGCATCTCCAGAGCATGCACACTTGAGGTAAGGATTCACATGAAAACCATCCTCGGTTTGTGCCCAGAAAGGGGTCTACATTGGGTCACTGTAGTGGGGCTGTTATTGCAGTTATGTGTGATCAGTACAATTCTTCAAATATCCCAATATGTCCAGTCTTCCTTCTTGGAGAACCCTTTTCAAGTAGCACTTCAAAACTGACCAAGTTGTCAATACTGACCAAACAAATTCTTTTTTTCCCCCCCAGGTTTTGGGAAAATAAAGTAAGTCATAGAGTGAGAGAGTGTTGTAGGGCGCTGTCCAAATACCAAGCAATATTTGACATGTGGCATTGCTGTGGGTGGTGGCTATCTTTTTTTTTTCCTTTCTTTCTTTTTTTCTGAGTTGGAGTCTCATCTGTCGCCCAGACTGGAGTGCAGAGGCCGCTCCTGGTCACCGCAGCCTTGACCTGCTGGGCTCCAGCGATCCTTCTGCCTCAGCCTTCCAAGTACCTGGAACTACAGGCGCGTACTATCACGCCCAGCTAATTTTTGATTAATTGTAGAGATGAGGTCTCGCCACATTGCCCAGGTGGGTCTCGAACTCACGGGCTCAGGCAGTCCACTCACCTCAGCCTCCCAAGGGCACAGGATTACAGGCTGAGCCACCGAGAAAACAGCAAAATGGGAAAAGCCATTTGTACAGATTATTGTAATGCCACTGAACCAGCCAGAATTTCTTAGCCTGGTGTCTTGCTGTGGGAGGACAGTTTAAGAGAGTGGTAGGATGTATGTTAAAAAAAAAAAGGAGTAAAAATTGATCCCCAAGTAGACATGTATTTCTCTCTTCCCTTCTGAGGACAGGGCCTGCCACTCTTCTGGCTGCTGTGGGACCCACCACCCCTTGATGGCCAGAGGAGGGAGAAAGAACTAAGGAGGCACCTCAAGATCACCTACCCCTAGGAATGGGCCTTTCTTGTTTAGTTAGTGTCATGAGCCCTCATTGCCAAATGCTAGATCAAGTTCATCTCCTCTACCAGCTACTGTTTGCAGATTCAGCCTCAACATTTAGCATTTGTTTCTCCTCTGCATTTCAAGGCTTCGGTCTAATAAAATCTTGTCAATGTAAAATCCAGAAAACTTACTGCTCTCTCTTGTTTTTCTGTGTTTGTCTAGTGGTATAAGGCTGAAATTGAATTAACTTCAAATTTTATAGCATGTTTATGCATTCTAGAAACTGTATATTCTAAATTATTGTGCATCTCTAAATAACAGGCATTGAGGTGAGACCATAGAACCAGAGCTACTTTGGTAGAATTAAAAAAATTTTTTTGTATTGCTCACATGTATTGAGTATACTCTCAGTAGCTTCTATCTGTGTTTGTGAGTAATCAAAACATCCCTCTCTCTCTCTCTCTCTCTTTTTTTTAATGTCAGAGTCTTACTCTGTTGCCCAGGCTGGAGTGCTGTGGCACAATCATGGCTCACCACAGCCTCAACCTACTGGGCTCAGGTAATTCTCCTGCCTCAGACTCGCAAGTAGCTGAGATGACAGGCGCATGCCACCATGCCCAACTAATTTTTAATTTTTTTTAGAGACCATGTCTCACTATGTTGCCTAGACTGGTCTTGAACTCCTGAACTCAAGCAATTCTCCTGCCTTGGCTCCCAAAGTACTGGGATTACAAATGTGAGCCACCACGCTGGACCAGGCTCTGAACTATCTCCTAATGCTGCCCTGTAGTTGGTAGTCTGGGACACCATGAGGGAAAATCGTGAAGACACACATAAAAGACATCTAATGATTAGATATTAACTACCAATTGTCTATTGCTTTTTATATGCAAGGCACCATACTTAGTACTTCATATACTTCATCATATTTAATCATCACAAGTTTTTCATTTTATGTATGAGGAAACCCAGACTCTGAGAAGTTAAGTAACTCGCCCAGGATCACATAGCTGTGTGGTTTGTGTTAGAATTTGATCGTGATTTTCTCTGATTTAAAATCCATATTTTTTACAACAATTAAAAAAATAAAATATGTAGGAATAAATTTAACCAAAGAGGTACAAAAATATACACTGAACATTATAAACATTGATGAAAGAAATTATAGACCTAATAAATAGAGAAACGTCCTGAGTTTCTGTGGAGTGAAAAACTCAATATTGTTTTGATGGCAACACTGCCCAAAGTGATTTACATTTTCTAAAGTCTATGTTCTTAATATTATAAGCAAGAGACTTGTCCCACTTGCTGTACTGTCTGTGTTTACTCTGCCATGTTTCAAAAACAACTGAAGGTAGAGCGACACCCCCACACTTCATTTTTCCCTTGCTCTCAACCTCTGTCTCTTGTTCATCCCTTCTTTACCTGTCCCGTGCCCCTTTTTGACTGGGCCTTACTCTTGCCAGTCTCCAACGTGAATGAGTGATGGATAAAGACAAGCAGGGTAGCTCCCATAGCCCAAAGAGATCCCAAGATCCCCAGGGGGAGAATACACCCAGTGCCACCCTCCCACCTGGGTTTTTCCAGGGCTGATGCTGGGACAGAGGGATGCAGAATCTGTCTTTGGTTCTTGGCACTAGGCAAGCTTTTTGACCCCACCTTGTATTCCTACTTTGGGACAATTTTCAAGCTCAGATGTGACTCTTTTGCTCAAGAACACTGAGTGCTCCCAAGACAAACCACCCAACCCTCTGTGAGTCAATACAGCAATAATATTTGTGGGAAGTTTATTAAATATGTTGTCAAAGGAGCTATTTTAGACATGGAGGCACAGTCTAATGACCTCTTTTGTTTCCACTTCAGATGCAGCAGCAGGAGCTTGGCTCCCTGAAGACCAGCCTCTGTGTCCTCGCCCTGGGGCTGGGCCGCCTCCTGTGCTGGTGGTGGCTGGCCGAGCTGATGGCTCACCTTATGTACATGCACGCCATCTACAGCAGTATCCCGCTCCTGGGGGCTGTCTCTTATTGGACCTTAGGTAATTGTGGAAATCACCAACAGTAGGACAAGCCCCAAGAGTTAGCATCAGAGTGAAGCTGAACTGGGGGAGGGCAGGGGTACAGTTGCCTTGAGCAAACTCTCTCTTTTTTTTTTAAATCTTACTCTTCTTGTGGCCAAGATTATGCATGTGTGATATGATCGACATGGTTGATGGCTGTGCTTGTGGTCTGGGAACCAAGGATGATAGCATCCCCGTGAATAATGGAATCCTACTGAACTTAGCTGGGCCCGCATCTTTGATGCTGGTGTGGCCAGCATTGCGTTTGGCAGTAGAGGGCAGGAGTTGCTGCGGGCAGCGTTTAAGTCCATTCTAAGAGATGATGCTTCAAGACTGATTTGTTCTGCAGTCTTCCTTGTCCTTCATGTATAAGGTGTGAAGGAAAGAATGTGAACTTTAGAGTCAGCCAGCCACAAGTTTGAGTCCTAGCTTCACCAACCACTAGTGGGTAACCTTGGACAGTTTACTAAACCTCTTTGAGCTTTAGGATCTTGTCTGTAAAATGAGGAGGCTTACCTTGGCAGGATTGTTTTGAGGATGAAGTGAAATGATGCACGTGAAGGGTGTACCTCATACAGTGACTAGTAGCTAGAATAAATGGGGTGTGAGTGTGTATTTCCTTCTGTTGGTCCCCTTTTCTTATCTACCCTTTCCTTTACATCTGAGGTGGGATGGAAGTCTTATTTCCTCAGCAGGGCTAGTCTCCAGCATAGGACTGGTCTGTGGAAAAACTGTTATTCTTTATTCCTCTGGCCAAAACAGCAGAGACCATGCCCCTTTCTGAACTACATCTCACTTTCTTGTTCTCCTTTCTTTCTGAGAACTCCCGCAGTGCCTGAATTCTGCCTGTGTGCTGACCTCCAGCCTCTAGCTCCAATGAGAACCATGAGATCCTTCAGGCAGATTAAGCTGCTCCCTGCTGAGGGCAAAAGTACAAGCCTGGCTCCTTCCTTATCTATTTAGTGATTTATAGATTTTTTAAAAATCTTGATTGTCCTTGGTATCACGTGTGCTTAATCAGAATGTTTCCAAGGAAGAAGTCTTTTAGGATTGAAAAAGCACTGAACTGTTTTAATGATGGTCTCTTCTTTCCAAATATTTTTAATAATTGGAGGTAACTAATATTGTAAGGTTTTAATAATAATCATATTATTACACCCAAAGTCAGCACTAGGAAAGGTAAAGGTAGGGACTCAGAGATGTCACCAGTGATCCATTTGTGTGTCTACCAAGTGAGTTTAAGTTACCCAGAATCCTAGAGGCCCTTCGTTAGTACCCCTAATCCCATCAGTCTCTTTCACTCTCTCTGAAATGAAAACCTGATTTTTGTGTTTCTCCTTCTCTTCTTTTTCATTGTACTTTTGACACAGTAAAGTTCCTAAAATTGCATATTTTAAGACGTTGTCATATGAGTAGATTCACACTTGACATGTACCTCTATGACTTGATTTTTTTTTTTTGCTTAATATTATGCTTTTGAGAAGCATCATGTTGACATATGTAACTAGGGACCAATCATTTTCGCTATTGTATAGCATTCCAGTGTATCTATTTGCAACAAATTTTTTGTCCATTCTACATACAGGAGAGCTTTTGAGTTTTTTCCAGGGTTTTGCTACTCCACATAATGCTGTTTCTGTGAGTCTCACATTGTTGCTCACATATAAGAGTTTTGCTATAGACTATAGCTTTCAAATTCTTTTGCTCATGACTCATAGTAAGAAATGCACTTTGCATTACAGATGTGTGTGTGTGTGTGTGTGTGTGTGTGTGTGTGTGTGTGTGTGCGTGCTCTCACAAAGCCATACTTTACCTTAAACCATTTGTACTGTATACTGATGTTTTATTTTCTGTTCCATACTATTGTATTGTATTTGAAAATGTTTGTTAGAAGCTGCTAAATTGAGCCGGGCTCAGTGGCTTAGCCTGTAATCCCGTGCCTTTGGGAGGCTGAGGTGAGTGGATTGAGCCTGCCGGTTCGAGACCCACCTGGGCAATTTGGCGAGACCTCATCTCTACAATAAATCAAAAAATTAGCTGGGCGTGGTAGCACGTGCCTGTAATTCCAACTACTCGGAAGGCTGAGACGGAAGGATCGCCAGAGCCCAGCAGGTTGAGGCTGCGGTGGCTGGGAGCGTGCCACTGCCCTCCAGCCTGGGCGTCAGAGTGAGACTCCAACTCAAAACAAAACAAAACAAAACAAGAACCTGCTAAATTGAATGAGTCACTATCCAGAGTTTGTCAAATACTGCTCTAATATGTATACCTAGAAGTAGGTATTGTGGGCAGAATACTTGTTCAGATTTATGAGGTAATGCCAAATTAGTTTTTAAATTGTTTGAACAATTTATGCTCCTCTTGGCAGTGAATGAGAGTTTCCATTGCTTGAAATTCTCATAAACACTTGGTGGTGGTTTTTAATTTGGAAATCTGGTAGGTGTAAATTGTATCTCATATTTCAAATTCGCTTTCCCTTGATTACTAATGAACTTGAGCATCTTTTCATAGGTTTAAAGGACTTTGGTATATTGTTTTCAATAAAATAACTATTGATAACTTTTGTTCATTTCTCTATGGGATTTTTTGTTTTTCATATGAATTCATAGGGGTTATTTATCCCATATTACCGTCTTTTTCTAGTTATAGTTATTGCAAAAATTGATATTTCTTGGTTTGTGGCTTGATTTTTAATGTTTTTTAATGTTGTCTTTTGATGAACCTTATTTTTAAATAGTTACATTAATAACTTTTCAATGATTAGTACATTTGGGTCTTTAAAAAATAATTATCTCCTACTCCAAGGTCATAAAGATAGTCTCTTTTATTTTCTTCTAATACTTTCAAAGTTAAATAAAATCTTGCCAGGTGTGATGGCTCAAGCCTGTAGTCCCAGCACTTTAGGAGGTTGAGGCGAGAGGATTGCCTGAGACCAGGGGTTTGTGACCAGCCTGACCAACTTGATGAGACCTTGTCTTGATGATACATCAAAAAGTTAACTGGGCATGGTGGCTCGCACCTGTAGTTGGAAGGTTGAGGTAGAAGGATAACCTGAGCCCAGCAGATCGAGGCTGCAGTGACCGAGAGCGTGGCACTGCACTCTAGCTTGGGTGACTGAGTGGGACTCCAACAACAACAACAAAAAACAAACTTTGATTATTATGCACATTTGTATCATAGAAAATGTAAAATATAGATAATGCAACATTTTAAGATGGAAGCATCACATTACCGTCTGTCCAAGATGACTACAGATAAAATCTTGATACTTATCCTTCCTCATCTTTTTTTTCTTATAGTTTTTATACATACATTTAAGGGTTTCCCCAAGTGAGTGTACACTATGTGTAATTATAATTTTGTAACCTGAGATTTATTTTTGTCAATGCTCTCATCCTTCTACATGACTACATTTTCATTCTCATTTTATGCTCAATGATCAGATTTTACCATTTGACTCCAAAGGTCCTTTATACCTATTGTATTGGCCAAGCTAGTATCCAGTCCAGGACTACACGTTGTATCTAGTTGTTCTGCCCCTTAAGATTGTCTTAATTTAGCACCATCTCTTTTTATGACATCAGCCTGTGGAAGGGACCGGGCCAGCTGTCTTACGGGATGTTCTATCATCTGTTTCCTCATCATGTCATTCAGCTTATTCCTTTATTCCCTCTGTTTATTTTAAATCAAAATGTTTCATGAATTAAAGTTAATTAATTTTAGCTAGAATATCTCCCAGGTGATAGTGCATACTTGAAACTCTCCCTAATTCGTTTGAAACATTTTAAACACCTAGAAAATTTGAAGAAATTATATGATAAAAACTATATGCCCACCATGTAGACACAACAATTGCTAACCTTTTGTCCAAAAGTAACATTCTTCTACCTGACTGCAGTTACAGATCACAATTTAAAAAAGTAATTCTCTAATATCATCTCTCTAGTCTATCTTCAAATTTTCCTAGTTGTTTCCAATATATATTTTGAAGCTATTTTCTCAACCCGGAATCCATCAAGTGCATCATTTCATTTAATGTGTTAATCTACTTCAATCTAGAATAGTTCAACCACATTTTAAAATGATATTGACTTTTTGAAGAGTACAAACCTATTGTCTGATAGAATATCCTGCGCACTAGATTTATTTGATTTTTTAATTGCATTATTCTTGTTTATTATTCTATCCCTTCTCTTTTCTGTAAACTAAAAGTTGGAGCTAGATCCTGTAGAGGTTTGATTTAATAAAATTTATTTAATTTTTGGTAAAATAACTTCATACAGGATACCACATGCTTCATATTGCCTCCATTATGTCAGGTGGTTCCCACTCTTCTCACTGCTGAGTTGAATCACTTGCACACGTTGGTGGCTGCCACACTACTCCCTTGTAAAATTACATTTGTTCCTTTGCAATTAGCAAGCAACTTGTGAGTGTTAATTTGGTGTTGTGTGAATACCCCATTCCCCAATAACTGGGAATAGTGTTAGTGAATAGTTTTAACATTCCATGGTTACCTGGATCAGTTTTTTTCCCTAGGATTTAGAAGTGCTGGGTATTCTAAATATATCATTATGTCTACATTTGATAGCTAGCATTCTTTCATAAAGAAGATCTTTCTATCATAAACTGGGCTGAATATAGTTTCTCCTAAAAAGCTAAGGCAAGTGTGTAATAGTTTCTCTTTAAATATTATCTTATGGAGTAAGAAGTTCAGTGAAATACTCCCCTTCAATGGTATTGTCCAATAGTTTTATGTTTTATTATTACATATAGTAATTCTTTTGGATGCTAAAATTGTTCCAAGTTTGGTCAAGCTGGCTTTTGACATGCCTTTATTTCCTCTGAGAATTTCCTTTCTATCTGAAAGTAAAAGATGTCCCAGTGCTCACCTTATATTTTCCCTAGCCCTGTATTGGAATCAACCAAATTGTCAAGGAGGCTTGGTTCTTTTTAGTAAGGGAAATATATTTAGGAGCCAA